TCTTCATTTTTAAGATATTGCAAGCTTAACCTAGGGATTTGTTTCACATCAGAAGTGTATTAAGTTTTTATTGTAAAAAAGTTTTCAATCTTTAAACAAGATTGCTGCTAATACATCTTAAAATCCTAAGACTGAAAGGAATTTCTTCCAGATTAAATTTCCAATTTAAAATAAGAAAATTATATTTTATGACATTTTAACTTAAACACGAATGTCAAAATATGGGGAAAATGAGTTCCCAAGTCAGTTTTATGAAATCATAAAATCGAAGACCCCAGAAATTAAAATATTTACATTCTTATCTATCTTTTATTGAAAGTCAAGGTAAATGTAATTCACGATTTCTTGAATTGAAAAAGTCTTAAGAATGTCATAATCTTTTAACAGATCATAGTTAAAATAAAATAAATGGTCTGACATGTTGGTAAAAATCTTTTCAGTGGGAGTCAATTTACTTCACTTACAGGAAGGCAAAAGTCACCACATTAAAATCACAAGCCAATTACCAATCCTGGCTTTGCAGTTCCCAAATCCTAAAAACAAAGTTATTGCACATCACTCTGGGATCATCTGCCTGTATGCTTTAGGGTCAGATAACATTTTTTAGAGAAGAGAAAATTTAAATCTACTAACAACAGTGGCAAAATGTCAAAAAATGGTACAACTTTCAAAAGCTAGATTAATGGCCTACCTACTTCTGTACTTTACAGTTGGAAAATAAACAGTATCAGTTGCTTCTGGGAATAACAATATGATCACCTACCTGTTCACTTACTTGCTATCATTTTTACATATGAAAATCTTCTAAAAACTAGGGGAAATATAAATCCAGTAAAGGACTCTATGTGAAATCTCCAATTTTTTCCAAAATCAAGAGTAGCCCACCAAAAAGTTAAGAAGGCACTGAAGAAAAACAGATTCCCTCTCTGAAGTCGGGAAATTCGGTTAAAAAAAAAGCTGGTAATTATTTTGTTATCAATTAATTTATCCATTCCTATGGCATGTCTCACATTTGTCTGTGGATGCTGTGCCACCAAATTTAAGGTGAGGAGCTGGGTCTCATTCATTCACCCCCACATTCCGTGGTTCCTAGCAAAGTGCCCTATATATACTAACAACTTGAAAAAAGGTTGACTGAATTAAGGCAATAAATGTGTTCCTAACTGCAGGTAATCAATTAGGCTTGAACTCATGCAAGAACATTCATAATTTCATTTTAGCTAATAAGCACTGAGTAATTTGACATGTTTTTAATTTGCCAAGCTATTAAATGGATTTTAAGCTCTGAATAACATTCTTATTTTTTAAACATATTCAAAAGAAGTGCGTAGTGAAACATTAAAAAAATATTCTTACAAATAAAAAAGGCAATGATTGGTTTCACTGTGTATAACATGGAACTAGATGGTGTCGGTATGGTGAACACAAAGTGACCCAGCACTGATGTAAAAGGTTTGTTAACAAGACAAGAACATTACAAAGAGAATTAGAAGCTGGAAAAATGGAATTCTGGCTAGAAAAGTCATAGTGGGCAAGCAGGAGACTTAATTAATACAGAGTACTACTGTCTCCACTCAGACAGGGTCTTGGGAAGTTGGAAAGCCTGTTTCCCACCCTCAAGAACAATTACTTCTCTACCGATCTACAGGGTGCATGCTGGAAACCGAGGTACAGACCATGGACCGAACTTACCATCACCCAAAGGAAACGATGGAATGAATACCAAGCAGAATGGGCCCTTGGGCTCCTGGGTGGCTCAGTTGGTTAAGCGACTGCCTTCGGCTCAGGTCATGATCCTGGAGTCCCAGGATCGAGTCCCATATCAGGCTCCCTGCTCAGCAGGGAGTCTGCTTCTCCCTCTGACCCTCCCCCCTCTCATGTGCTCTCTCTCTCTCATTCTCTCTCTCAAATAAGTAAATCTTAAAAAAAAAAAAAAAATACATCTTAAAAAAGAATGGGCCCTTTATGGGCTCCCAACAATTCCAGTTCCACCAACTCTCTAAAGCTCTAGTTGAGAAAAGAAGTAGGCAAAGTATAGCCCACAGGCCAAACTGGGCCAAGTTCAGCCACCTCCTGCGTTTGTATGGCCTGCAAGCTACGAATGGTTTCTACCTTTTTTAAATGGTAAAACAAAGACACATTTTATGACATATGAAAATTATATGAAATTCAAATGTCAGCATCCAAAAATAAGGTTTTCATTGGAACAACGCTGTGCTTATTCATTTCCATGTTGTCCATAGCTGCTTCTGTACTACAACAGCAGAGCTGACAGAGACCATAACGGCACACCCAGCCCACAATATCTACCACCTGGCCTTTTACAGAAAAAGTACGCTGAACCCTAGCTAGAGCATTTCTTTATGCTCCTGGTTGCATCTCCTTTCTCAGAGGTGGTCCACTGCTTCACAGGGCTGAGACTCTAAGCTTGACAGATGTCCATCTTGGGGCTGTGTTGTCCAAAGTTACATCATTACATATAATATCCTTCAACTCTTTAGGGTGGGCACAAAGACAAAGTAACGAATCACGTGCATTCGGAAGGCCCTGAAAAGGTAGCACAATCCAAATACAACATTACAGGCAGCACATTTCAGATCTTTTACCAGACTACCACATCCAGTTCCGGGTCACATGGTGAAAGGAAACAAGAACCACAGAGAATTTGGAGATTGGATAGATGATTAAAAGAGCTCAAAAATCATACCACTAAAGAAATGCTAAAAGAAATGGGATGTGCTTGCTCAAAAAAGAGAAAAGCGGGGAAAGAACTATAATAGTGAGGGTGTCAAACTCTGCATTTGTCGATAGATTAAATTTTTACTGATGAAAATAATGGCAGCCTCAACTAATACTCCACAAAACATGCATCTAATGAATTAAATGTGATTCTTAATGAGACTGCCACTCCTGCCTTAGGCCATAAACTAGCCCCTTAAAAGATAATCACTTGTCAAATATTGTACTGTAAGTCTTCAACTGGCGGATTAGAGGAATGTTCCTTTTTCAGAAACATCTGGCATTATGTAAGTTACCAGAAAAAGTGTGCTATTAATGTGCTGAGGTTCAGTAATATTCAAGTAACTAAAAAGTAACATAAGTTTCAAAACCATATGCCTTTCCACAGGACCAAATAGGGGGAAATGGGCTTAAATTACAGAATTTGTGTTACATTCAAGAATGTTCACACTGTGGGATTTTAATTACTCTAAAAGATTACTGGTAAAGGAATCTTCCCAGGACACCATTCAATTAGAATGGAACTATCTGGATGTTATTCTGAAGCCGAAGAATGGGTCTCAAATCAATTCTTCCACTGCTGATTCTGTAGTTTTAACTCTCCCAGTTCTTATGAGTAAGAGAGCCTGCAGCCATGCTCAGTTTCATTTTGTCTTGAAGGTGGTCCATGTACACACGACTGCATCTGACATAAACTTCAAGATCCCAAATTAAAATTTGGTTGTAGCTTTAATAACTTCTTTTAAATTACAGAGATAAGAGTATACACTCCTATTAAGTAGGAAAAGTTGGGAAAATGGGCATAGTTTCCAAATATTTCCATGAGCCGAAATACCTTATTATCTCAAAATGTCCAACACTTGCACACAGTAAGTGAAGACGGTATTTAGTTTTGAGCCTTTTAAAATACAGAATCCTTGAACACAAAATGTTCTTTGAGTCAATCTCAACACTGCAATTAATAATACAAATTCTGAAACTTGCTCTAAATATAATTTTAATCAACCTGAGTTTTTCAACCTCGAAATTCTAAGGCCTGCATTTCCCTAAGAAAACCCTTGCAATGGTGTGAAGCACACAGTAATCTGACTCACTAAACTTTCTCCACTCCTACATCACCTATACAGGATTTTAAAATCAAGAGTACACAACTTGCAAGCCACTTCTACAATCTTGCATTAACCTTACCAGGATAAACTTTTCGCCAAGTCTCTTAACACTTTTTTATTTATTTAAAGACCTGGGGTAGTGAAACAAAGAAAACACAACCCCCTCCCCCTTTTCTAAACCATATGGCAGTAAATTGAAGTTAACTTCTTTTTTACCGGCTCAACGCCTATACATCGGTCCTAAACATGTTTCTCTTTGTGCCCTGGGACTGGGCTAGAACTGTCTGCTTATTTGCAACTGTACCCCAATCATGTTTTTGGGTCGAAAAACAAGTCCAAAACGCCCCCTGACCATTAACAGACCTCGCCGCGGTCATTTACCGAAACCTGGTTAGGTAGGTAGTGCACGCAGGGCGAGGGGCCCGCGGCCCGCCCGGAGCGAGTCCCGCTCTGACCGGGCGATCGAGCAGGGAGTTTACTCGCCCCGGCCGGGCCGGATCCGCCCCGGGAACTTGGTTACCCGAGCCCAGGGACGCGCCGAGGCCTAGCCGCGAGGCCGGGGCGGGCTCCGGGTGGCGGGGGCTTCCCGTTCCCCGGCCGCAAAGCCTTCCCACCCGCCCCGCGGTTGCCCGCAGGCAGGGGCACTGCTCGTCGTCTCCCGGCGACCGGACGCGCCTGCAGGGTCCACGGACGGCTCCTCTGTCTCCCGCCGCCGCCTGCGGCCCCGTTCGGCGGCCGCACCGAGCCCTTCCGGGGCGGCGGGAGCGCTAGGCCGCGCCGGAGCCCGCGGCTCCGGGGCCGGCCAGGCGGGCCGCGGCGTCCGGTATCAGTCCCGAGGGCCGGGCTCCCGCCGGTAACGGGCCCCGCCGACTCCCCTCCCCCTCCCCCGCCCCATGACAGTGCAAACCCTCCGGCCGGCCCGGCCGCCCCGCCTCCGGCACCAGGCCCAGCTCAGGGCCGCGGCCGTGGCGGCGGCGGCGGCAGCAGAGCCGCCACGGCTCTCCGCCCTCGCTCGCTCGCACCCAGGCCAGGCGCCTCGGGCCCGGCTCGGGCTCGACCGAAGTCTCCGCCGCTTCCCGGCCGCCCTCCGCGGCGCCTGGCCCGGGCGGGGTAGGCCGAGGCCCGGGCGGTGGGGGCGGGGGCTCCTCTCACCTTCATGTCGGGACATCCTAGTTCAGACGGTGGCGGCGCGGCCCCTCCCGGGCTCCGGCTGCAGTGTCCCCGGCGGGGTCCCGGCGCTGCCCGCGCCGGCCGGCCGACTCCCACTCGACTCCCGGGCTCGGCCGCGGGGGCGGGGTGGGCAGGGGAGCGCTCCCGCGGCGGCGGCGGCGGCGGCGGGGAGGCGGCGCGGGGCGGGAATGGGGCCGGGCCTGGCCGGGGCTGAGCTCCTCCAGGAGGCGGGTCCGACGCCGCGGCTCCGCCGGCGCCCGCCGTGACTCGGTCACTCTCGGGCCCGCCGGCTCCCGGCTGCGGCGCCGCGCTCCGCAAATCCCGCTCCTCCCCTCCCCCGGCCCACCCCCCGCCCCTCTCCCCCGGCTCCCGGCCGCCGCCTCCTCCTCCTCTTCCTCCTCCTCCGCCTCCTTCCGCCGCCCGCACGCCGGCCCCGCCTCTCGTTGCCCGCGCCGGGCCCAGCCGCCTGGAGACCCCGCGGCAGGCGGTCGCGGCGGGGGCGGCGCGGCGCCTGCCCGCGCTCGCCAGCAGGCCGTGGTCGGGCGCCCGAGCCCGGCCTCGGCCTGGCCTGGCCGCCGCCGCGCCGCCACGCAGCGCGTAGGGAGGAAGAGGAAATGCCCGGCCGCCCGCGCCCGCTGCTCGCCGGTACTGCCGGCCCGCGTGGCCCGAAGGGCGCCCGCCTACCCGGCCGCCCCAGCTCCGTCTGGGCCCTACCCGGGCCCCGGCCGTGGGCGCCCCCGCCGGCTGGGCTGGGCTGGGCTGGGCTGGGCTGACCGCGGGCGGCGGGCGCTGCCCGGCGACGAGCTGCGGGCCCCGAGGGGCTCTGGCTCTGGGGCGCATGTCTGTCCTGCCGGCCGGGGAAGCGAACTGCGAGCCCCGGCCCCGAGGAGAGGCTGCGGACGGCCTGGGGACATGTGTTTGTGTTTCTTTTTAAGCCAGCTGCTCGGAACGGAGAGGCGGCTGGCCTCCGGTCGTCGTCGGGTGTTGCCCGGCTGGCCGGGTGACGCGTGGGCGCGGGAGGCGGCCGGGCTTGGCTACGGTGCTCCGAGCCAGGCTCCTCTAGAATCATCTCTTGGGAGACTCTGCCCCCGCCATCCTGGGTGTCCGGTAGGACCCCGCGCAAAGTTTGATCCAGCACCTTGGCTCACCCACAGTGCGCTGCTTGGAAAACTGTTGGGGGGGGGCGCGAGGGTGTTGTATTGTTGTTTTTTCCCTTTTTTCTCCTGCCCGTGAACCATTTTCCCGTTTTCATTTCTCTTTTACATTTTTACCCTCTTCCTTGTCAACTTTGTTTTCAGGCTTATTAATTCAACGAATACGCGTACTGTCACGTGTTCGCGGTAGCGTGGTTTGGTGGAAATAGACCATGCTTTGGAGTCAAGACAGATCAGCCATTGGATTCTGGTTCTGATATCCTCAGTGTAACCTTGGATAAGTTATTTAACGCTGCTGAGCCTCCGTTTCTTTGTCCTATGTTTGGTTTTGGTTATTTTAATTTATCCTTTTATATTTGAAATTGTTCTGGGTTTTTTGGTGTGTGTGTGTGTGTGTGTAAAATTAATTCTGGCTCTAGGCTAAGGCTACTCTTAATCCTGTACACCATTACTAGCTGTGTGACCTGGGGCAAATGACAGTCTTCCTTGCCTTGATTTCCCGATCTTTAAAATGAACATGATTACAGATGATACTATGGCTAATAATGATAACAGGTAGGTATTTGGAGGATTAAGTGCTAAAATGTATATAAAATAGCACAGGTCATAGTAAAAATAGTGTTTGTTACCATATTTAATTAAATCTGGTTTTAAGGCACTTCCTGATTTCAGACATTAAAAAGCTCTTCTTAAAGTCAAAGAATAGTATTAGGTCACTCAGATTTACCCAAGGACTGTATTTGGTGGTAACTAGTGATACACTAGATATCAGCCAAATAAGGTTTAAGCGAGGACTTTGTCACAAGAAATATTTCCATTGCACTTCGGGAGCTTTTGCCTAAATTAAATCCAGCACAGCTGTTGAAGAAAGAGGTTCATCCAGGCCATAATTGGGGTTTGGTGGAATAGAGAGAACTGGGCTTCCAACAGGGCTAGCTAACGCTTACTGAATGCTTACCTGTGTCTTTCTAAGCACTTTACAGTATTGGTGTGTGTGATCCTGGGTACCAAGCGCTTAAGGAGCTTCTGTTTCTTGTCAGGACAACACCACCCTACAATTTTGTGATGAGTAAATGATGTCTGCAAATATATTAAGATACAGAGGTTAAGGCATTGTCAATAATAGTAAAAGTATGCTGGAGCAGGTGGGAGAATGGACAAAAATACTGCACTCCAGGAAGGAATAAGAGTAAGTATAGAGATTTAGTTTGTTTTGGTTTGGGGAGTTGTTAGCTAATTCTGTTTCAGAGAGCAAACAGATAAGTATCTAAACCTCAAGGGAATATCAGGTCTTTGACAGTTACTCCATTGTTTGCAATTAGTCAAAAGTAAGAAAGGGAAGAAAGTGACTAAACATTGTTCTTCTTTGCATAAGACTAAGGAATATTATAGTTATTTGGAGTTTTCTTGGCTGCAGGAAACATTTTCTCAATTCAGTTAAAGGTCAGGCCCTTCAATTTAAAACAGCCTGCTTGCTGTCCTGCCACATGGGAGATTTTATTTCCGAAAAGGTTAATTTATTTTTTATTTTTTAAAGATTTTATTTTTTTTATTTATTCATGAGAGACAGAGAGAGACAGAGGCAGAGGGAGAAGCAGGCTCCCTGCAGAGCAGGGAGCCCAATGTGGGACTTGATCCCAGGACCCTGGGATCATGACCTGAGCCGAAGGCAGACGCTTAACCGACTGAGCCACCCAGGCGTCCCGCGAAAAGGTTAATTTAAAGTGTTTATATCAAATTGTCTATCAAATGATTTCTTTTCTCCAGAAATGGTTCCTCCAGTCCTTTCCTCTCCCAGTATCTCCTGGAGTTCTTCCAGGTCCTTACCTCGCCAGCCCATCTTCCATACTATGGCCCATTTCTGTTTAGTAAAACAAGCTAATGCATGGAAACCCTGGTGAAATCTGAATAAGGTCTGTAGTCTAGTTAATTGTATTGTGCTAACGTCTACTTCCTGGCTATGATAATTTTCTATAGTCCTGTAAAATGTTACTACCATTGGAGGGAGCCAGGGGAGTGTACATGGGTCCTCTCTGCAACTTCCTGTGTGTACTATTATTTCAGAGTAAAAAATCATAGACAAATCAGATAATTGCCTGCCTCTGCGGGGGCTGGGGGCTGGGGATTGACTGCAGAGAGAACTTTTAGAGGTGATGAGGATATTTTAAGTCTTGATTGTCTTAGTGTTTACTGGATACGTTTGTCAAAACTTAAAGAACTATACACCCCAAAGGGTAAAGTTTACTTCTATATAAATTATACCCCAAAACTGACTTGGAAAAAAGGAAAGCAAGCTCTTGTCACCCCAGCCTCCTGTGTCCTGGAGGATGAAATTTAACTTCTATAAGGCCCAACAAAATTTTCCTTCATCTGCCAGGGTACCCTCTGCTGTCTTACATTGATTCCTGCCCCCGAGCCTTTGCACTTGCTCTTCCTTTGCTTAAAGAGAGCCCAGGAAATTCAGGCCCAAATTCAGATTCCCTGTACTCTGTTAAGCCTTCCTTGCCTCCATTAGGCACACTAGTACCTTTCTCTTTTCTGCTCATGCTATGCTGTAATTTTTAATTAGTTTTCATCTTTCAGCTAAACTCCAGGGTAGGCAATCACATGATTCATTTCTATCTCTGGGATCCAGTAGTGTTGAATGAGGGAGTGAGTGAATGAATGGAAACTAGAAGAATGCTTATTAAAGTAACTTTCACAAAGTTTGGTCCAGTGTCCTCCAGACCTTTCTAGAGGGTCAGTGAAAATGCTTGGATTTTCTTATATACTTCAAACAGCACATCTCAATAGATTGAATGTGGAGGCAGATAAGGTAAACCAGCTGTCTTCGGTTAAGCGGAACATTAAAGGTATTTGCAAAACCGTAAAACATTGTCACACCTCCAAATGTTTTTGTTTTGGAAAATACTTATTTTATGGGGCGCCTGGGTGGCTCAGTCGTTAAATGTCTGCCTTCGGCTCAGGTCATGATCTCAGGGTCTTGGGATCGAGCCCTGCATTGGGCTCCCTGCTCCGTGGGAAGCCTGCTTCTCCCTCTCCCGCTCCCCCTGCTTGTGTTCCCTCTCTTGCTCTCTCTCTGTCAAATAAATAAAAAATCCTAAAAAAAAAAAATAGTTATTTTTCTTAAAAATATTTGTTACTGTGAAATGGGTTTAAAGTGTATGAAGAGGGGCACCTGGGTGGCTCAGTCGTTAAGCATCTGCCTTCGGCCCAGGTCATGATCCCAGGGTCCTGGGATCGAGCCCTGCATCGGGCTCCCTGCTCAGCAGGAAGCCTGCTTCTCCCTCTCCCACTCCCCCTGCTTGTGTTCCCTCTCTCACTGTGTCTCTCTCTGTCAAATAAATAAATAAAATCTTTAAAGTGTGTGAAGAGATTCTGAGACCAAAACATTTAAGAATCTCTACCTTGAGAGATTCTTACAAGCCCCTCATTATTCGAATGAGAAATGATGAGGCGAACGCTTGAGTAGTGCTCTGGTACGTGTAGCAGGCATTGTTATAAGCCCTTTACTTATGGGTGCTATTATATCTTTATTTTATTCATAAAGTAAGTGAGGCACAGAGCTAAGTTAATTGACTTGGCCACATACCTAGTCACGGGTAGAGCCAGGATCTGAGCTGTGGTTCCAGAGGCTCTGTTGCTAACTAGTTTTCTGCCACCTCCTTGGATGTCTGGAAAGGGTCAGAAAGGCTCATGCTATCTGGTAACCTCACCCCTGTATGCTTTCTAACTAACCTCACAGTAACTGCAAGAGTCACTGAGGCCTTGAACTTGCTTTACAGTTTTTTTTAAATATATATTTTTATTATTTATTTGATAGAGATAGCACAAGCAGGGGGAGCGGCAGGGAGAGGGAGAAGCAGGCTTCCCACTGCGCAAGGAGGCCGATGAGGGGCTCGATTCCAGGACACTGGGATAATGACCTGAGCTGAAGGCAGATACTTAAGTGACTGAGCCACCCAGGCACCCCTGCTTTACAGTTTTCATTTCAAATTCTGCCACCCTGAGTTTTTTTTTTTTTTTTAAGATTTTATTTGTTTGACAGCGACACAGCGAGAGAGGGAACACAAGCAGGGGGAGTGGGAGAGGGAGAAGCAGGCTTCCCGCCGAGCAGGGAGCCCGATGC